GATGATGACGACGACGACGCCGACGACGACGAGGACCGGCTCTGCCGCTGTTACTGTTATTTTTAACCCGACGCCGACGCGCCGAGTCCGTAGTCTAAAACCGCGTCTACCCTCCCGCGTCCTCCTTGTCTTCTCCATCGTTCTTCCTCATCATGATTTTCCTTCTCTTTCTCTTCGGCTTCTTCCTCTCTTCTCCTTCTCTTTCTCCTTCTCTTTCTTCTTCTTCTTCTTCTTCTTTTTCTTCTTAGCCGAGACGATGGGAGGGTTTACCAAGCACGCATATTTCGGAGCCTATTTTCAAAGTGACTTTCTATTTCCAAAGTCATAGGACGCCAGTCGGACGTTCGGGGCATCTTGAAGATGAGAATCGAGCTTAGAAAGCACAACAGACTCAAAGTTCGTTTTTTCCAAACACGTTACGCTTCATATTTGCTTTCAAGATAAGGTCTATCTCTCGGAAATAAAATATTATGGGGCTGTAATATAGTGGCTTACCGTCGTTGTTTAAAAGTATTTTATATATTATAGAAAGATATAATTGTAGACGTTAATTATAATTTAGTTGGTCGAAGAAAACTTAATAATTTTGAGAAAAATGCAAAATATAAAAAAAAGTTGTATATTGATTATTTCGTTTTAATTATTATAATCGAGAGAACAATCGATGCAATTCCTGTGATCAATGGATAATGGTGCCTATAGTTAGAATTCGCTCTCAATATAGAACCAAACAAAAATGATTGTGTGGTAGATGAAAATGCGAAGAACAAGTCCTTCCAAATTGCACTTTAACATTACAGGGGGGAGTGGAAATATCTCGCGATATATTTGGAAAATTCACTACGAATCGACCGGCCTGATGTACTCTTGTTTCCGGTCATTAGCTTTCCATTTGCCGCGCACATTCAGGGCTACCGGCGTCACGCGTGACACAAAAGACAATACAATAGACATGGTCTTTTATTGGAATGTCCCAAATCCATTACTGCACACTTTTTTTCAATTTTATTCGCAAAAGCGTTTATTAATAAATTTCAGCGCGAAACTTATAAATTTAATGAAAATAAAAAAATGTAAGATTCATATATTTTAATAAATATAAAAATTTATATATATAATTATGTTACGAAAGTATAACGATTTATAAATTCATCTTTAACGAGAATAAACACACCGTGCAACGAATGAGTCTATCGCTTTCTCCGCGAATGCGGTCATAGCTATTGCTATTGTTTGCCAGTGAGTGGAACATTTTTCAAGAAATTGTCCTCCGAAGAATCCGAGTAAATCATCATTAAAAAATCAAAGTAATTCGATGCGGTGCGCCTAGCGCGAAGTTAATGACGGTCGATAATGCTCGTCAAATGCCTGTAATACCGATAGTCAAGCCGCGAGCGGCACACAAAAGCGGCAGGATAGAGTTAGGCCGAGAAACGCTTGAGCCGTATGCCTGTCGCGGGAAAATCCGTTTGAAGAGCCAGTTTTCCCGCCAGTCGAGTCAGCAACGTCGCGCGGCGCAACGCAACGCAACGCGGCGGCGAGAGGCGTCGAGAGAAAGAACGAGTCGGTCTGCTAGGCGCGAGGCGTCGGGGAAGAGAACGGTGCGGGAGGGAAAGGAACGGGCGGCCAAGGATAGACGGAGAGAGGTGGTGATGAAGAAAAAGAGAGAACGAGAGAGAGAGAGAGAGAGAGAGAGAGAAAGAGAGAAGCTCGAAACGTGACAACGCCGCGCTAATGCGTTGTAGACTCGGTTCCGTGCTGATACCCACGCTCCGAGGCCTCGCCTCGCCTCACCTCGCTTCGTCTCGCCTCACCTCACCTCGCCTCGCCTCGGCTCGCTTCAGCTCGTCTTGCCTCGCCTTGCCTCGCCTCCCCCCGCCCCGCCCCGCCCGCCTCGCCTCGCCTCGGCGGGAAGCCGCCGTTGCCTCGGCGTAGAACGAAATATTTCTACCGGCAGACTTTCTACTCGGCGAGTATCGAGGGTTGCTGTGCGACCAGGTTACGACGATGCAACTAGGGTGGTAGATATTCGCGCGCTTCCTCTTAATCCGTCAGGAATGCATCGTGGTGCGCGACGCGTATCCTTACGGTGTAAGATTCTAGTTTACGGAAATAGCACGGAAAAAGGAAAAAAAAAAAAACGGAGATACCGTTAATACTGATATTCGCCGACGTTTCCGCGAGTCATGGCAGAAAGTTCATTTGTACGGGGGGGGGAGGAGGGAAGATTTCGAAATAAAGGCAGAGAGCATTTATAAGTGCTACTCCCCAGTAGAAACAATTTAACAATTTCGCTACGCGTAAAAGTCAAGCTTCGACTTCAATTACAATCGTAATGCTTTTAGACGAGGCAGCGCGGTATAAAATATTAAAGCGTAACTGAACCCTTCGTACATTATATACGGCGTGTAACGTGTAGCAATGGTATATTATGTATACGCGATGTGTGTATGTGTGGCGGCGCATCGTTTGGCTTCCGACCAAATATACGCTCGATCGATCGCACCTACCGATCCGTGGCGAGCTCTCGCTGCCGCGCGCGCTCGCGAGAGAGCTAAACGCGGACGGAACGGATAACACGGGGGGCTTTCGAAAACGCTGCGTTCGATCGCCCGCGCGTTGTTTTATACGTGGGCTAGTGCCGCACGGCCGACAAGAGAGAGAATCGAGTGCGGCGCGCGCGCGTTTCGATCGAATTTTGCAGTTCGCCGGGACGCGCATGTCCGGCGCGGTATAACGCGGCGAGCGACGTTTATATGTAGAAAATATTCGCGGTTGAAATTCGAAAGGTAGCTCTAGCTCGGGCAACGTTTCTTCGACCGACACGATGTTGGTCGGAGCAACTTTCTAGTTTAGCCGACGTGCATGTAGCGAGAAGCGTATCTGTATACGTCCTACGTATGTGGACGCACGCACTTACAGTCCCGCACCGGGAATGTGTGTATGCGTGCATGCGGGCACGCACACATGCGAGCGTATATTTCTCTCTCTCTCTCTCTCTCTCTGCTTCGCTCGCACGCTTATTTCTATCTCTTTCTCGGTCTCTGTTAGTATCTCTTTTTCTCCTTCTCTTCTCGTTCTCTCTCTCTCTCTCTCTCTCTCTCTCTCTCTCTGCCCTTCTCCGACGGTCATGTGGAGGAAAACTGGTTTCAAGAGAATAGAGCAACTGTGCGCCTTACCAACAACAGCCACGAAGAACGAAAGCTCCGACACCCTCGCGCATGAGTTTAACATCGTATCCATATATGTTATGTACGAGTCGCGTTTGACGGAATAGGGACATAAATCAGGAAAAACTTTGACGCGTATCAATTCTTGTGCATAATTGTCGGGATAAAGTAAAATTCTAAATTATGCAAAAGTACGACTATCGATTACATTTCGGAATTATCTAATTTCTTTTTTTATTTATGGATTTTTTGATCAATTCGAAATTTCTATCTTCAATGAAATTATTATAAAATCGACATCGATAGAAGAGAGACTTTAAGAAATTAACATTAATATCGAAAATTTTTATTTCTTGAGATAATAAAAGTCCATTTTGTTATAATATTATTATTTCAATTTTATAGTTTGATACTAATATGAAAATAAAATTCAGAAAGTAAAGATATGAATATTATTGTCTTGGAATATTATTTGATTAAAAATTATTGGACTTATAGCGAAACATCGCAAAAGCAATATCTTTAATTTAAGTTTCTGTCTCAATCGTAGGTATAAATACGTCGATTATTCTTAAAAGGAAAATTTGTTCGATTCTGTAAAGATCTATCGGAGGACGACTTTTCTGTAAAGTGACTTTGGGTTTTTTTTTCATCCACTCGAACGTGGCTCGCGATAGGTATCGTGTGAGAGAAATGTCGATGATATTCTCCTGTATACAGCGTGTTATGTAAAATGCGAGTTTTGTAATGCTACAGGAGGAACAAAGTTTTCACAATTACGACACCGAAATGGATTTAACGCGGACAGTGGATGGACGATGACCCTGTTTTCCTCTTCCATCCCTCTGCCGTTTGTTGCTACTACAAGGCGAATAATTCACGGAAATTTATCTCTCACAGTGGAATCTTAATATCTATATTTCGAGAGTATATTCGCGTTTTGCGAGTCGACAGCCTTCGTCGAGGATCGTTGTCGCGGTTGGAAGCGCGGATCGAATTAAAAAAGCACACGTGAATGATGGCCTCGAGATCTTTAACGCAGTGCGCTGCTTTATCGGTAGAGTCTCGTTACAGGTAGCAGGCATCTAATCTTGTAATTTTGCCTGGTCTTTTTTCCACTCCGGGCACCGTTTCTCTTTATCCTCTGTCTCTATCTCGCTCTGCGCGCTCATTCTTTCCCTCTACATCTCCTACTTACTCGACGTCCCACGTATACGTATACATATACATATAAATAGGTGTATATACAATTTATATGTATATATATATATACATATATATATATAATATAAGTATAAAATATATATATTTTATATATACATATATATATATAAAATATATATATTATAGATACATATATACAGTGACGTACGCGAGACTCCCTCCGCAATATACGTATCCTCGTCTGACTTCGGGATAGTTTTACCCTCGCGAGTGGGCAACGGGTTGATTGCACTGGCGGCTCCGCATTTGCCGGCTATCTTCCTCTAGTACTCGCTCTCTCGCTCTCCGCTCTGTTCTCGCTCGCTCTGTTCATCACCCACTCCCCTCTCGATATCACGTTGCCGTTTCTCTCGCTCCCTCTCATCCACCGTCGAGCCCATCGTTCGTTCTTTCTTTCCCTCTTTGTCTCTCTCTCTCTTGCTTTCCCATTCCCTCTTTGTTTCTCATTCGCTCCTTCTCCAACCGACTCGTGCGACCAACTCGCTTCCCTCTCTCTCGCGCGCGCTTCGTCCTTTTTCTCTGTCGGTCGTCCTTTCGGTCTCTCTATTTCTGTCACCGTCTCCCTCTCCGCCCCCCCTTTCTCGTTCCCTCGTTCTCTCGCGTTGCCTGACGAGCGCGAGCGAAGGGATGGAGAACGAATAGGGGTTTCCGTGGTAACGCCCCATGCACGAGTAATGCCTTCCCTCCTTGTTCGACTACGGGCTCGACGTCCTTCTCCCGCTATCGCGCTCCCTCCCGTTCGTCGCTCCGCGACCGTCGCTCGCTTGCCAGCAGCGAACACAGTGCGCGCACCGCGTTGTTTCTCCCCTTACCGCGCGACCTCCCGCTCGCCCACGCTCCCCACTACTGCGCTTCTGCGTACAGGCTGCTCCATACACTATCGTCGAAAGCTTTTGCCGAGTAGGATGAGCGGGCGAGCGAACGGAATTTTCTCTTGCGAAGCGAAATTACACGATCACGACGTAAAGCGTCAGTCCGAAAACTCGACGCGGCTCATTCGAGTCGAATGTAAATCATTTACTCTCGTGAAAATGGAATAAAAGTCTTTACACGCTTTGCCTCGATCAATTGTTATCATGTACATTTTCAACTGACAATAACGAGAAATTGGTTGTAGCCAAATGAAAATTCGATGTTATTTAGAAA